ACTATAAAGCATCAAATTATCTTTTATTTTATTTTTTCATATTTATTTATATTTTGTACAGTATATATATAGTTAGTTTTTATTTAGAATTTTTAGAGAATATTACCCGAAATAGGACTAAAAAGGTTTGAAAATTTCAAAATAGGACTGACATGTTTTTATTCCTAAAATAGGACTAATTACTGTCATGTTTTTGCAGTACCAGACTTCAAACATGGCAGTATTTTCTAAACTTGGCTATAATTACTCCTATTTTGGGAATAAAAACATGTCAATCATATTTTGGAATTTTCAAACTCTTTTAGTCCTATTTCGGGAACATTCCCTAACTTTTATTATATCTTATTTCTATATATTTTTATATATATTTAAATTTATTGCAATGTTGCCTCACTTTATATGATTGAGGGTGTGAATTGAACAAGTCATAATCTAGAGATATATTGGGCCATTTAACTTCTACTTCACCTGTAGGATTAACATATTATCAAGTAACATGGCAGGTAATTGATGGACAGTATACCCGGGGTAGCTTATCCGAGGGGTTATTCGAGGAATAACTAGAGAGAAGTCAGAGCAAACAAGTAAGAGAGAGAGAGTCAAATGTATTAAATGATCTCGATGTGTTTTACAAGGAGAATAAGGGCTGTTATTTATAGCAGCCATAAATGCGATGAGAGTACACGTGTCAGCAATCTAACGGCTGAGGGGTCACCTCAATCGGGGTAGCACCGGCATTGGCATGTGCACCGCATTAAATGCGGTGGGTGGATGTGATGCCGCATTGAATGCGGTGGTTGCTTGTCTCGAAAAGGAATCTTCGTAGAGCGTAGACCTTTCGGCCTGGATCATATGGCCAAAGGCTTCATGTATGGCCGAAGGCTTCATGTATGGCCGAAGGCTTCATGTATGGTCGAGGGCATGACATAGCCGAGGGGTACCGAGAACCTCATAGCTGAGGGGTGCCGAGGGGTACTGCCGAGGGCATCATAGCCGAGGGATGCCGAGGGCATCATAGCCAAAGGGTACTGAGGGCATCATAGCCAAAGGGTACCGAGGACATCATGGCCGAGGTGCTGCCGAGGGCTTCCACTGAATGTCTGGATTGCATGAGCATGTGGGCCAGGGGGTCCCGGATCATATGCTCCATCAGGAGTCCCCCACTCCTTTTGTTGAGAGGTAGTCGAGGCAAAGAGGAGTACTTGAATATTCTGTTTTTTTTTAAGTTTCCATTTTTTTTTATGTTCTGTTTCATGGAGGAAAGCCTGAGGGGTAGTCCCCCAGTCCCCCACTCATGCTGGCCGAAGGTGCTTCGGGCTGGAGGAGTTGTTGTCGTGCTGAGTTCCGTAGTTTCTAGGCCTCATAATGTGATAGCGCGGATGATGTTGAGGGCCTTGACCTAGCGGGAGATGCCTCGTTAAAAAACCTCACTACGGAAATGTAACACCCCGGCCCCGCAGGACCCGAGGTAGTTACTCCAGACCTCTAGTACTGTCCTCACAAACCGCCACTAGCCTTTTACGCGCACTTTGTCCTCACTCGTGAGCGCCCTGAGAAACTTCCCAGGGGGTCACCCATCCCAAGACTACTCCCGTGCAAGCACGCTTAACTTTGGAGTTCTTGGCTAATGAACTCCCTTAAAAGGAGATGCACCTTGTTGGTATGAGTAGTACTATTAATCCATTTATATTAAATCTCAAGTGTTACAATCACCCCCACTTAGGATCGCAACGTCCTCGTTGCGCCCTTAAATCAATCTCAATCATCCCAGAATCTTGCCTCGCTAAGTGCCCGCCTGATATCCAACGGATCAGCACACTGTCGCAAGGTTGCTCTGATACCACCTGTAACATCGCGGCCCCGCAGGACCCGGTGTAGTTACTCCAGACCTCTAGTACTGTCCTCACAAACCGTCACTAGCTTTTACGCGCACTTTGTCCTCACTCGTGCGCGCCCTGAGAAACTTCTCAGGGGGTCACCCATCCCAAGACTACTCCCGTGCAAGCATGCTTAACTTTGGAGTTCTTGGCTAATGAGCTCCCTTAAAAGGAGATGCACCTTTTTGGTATGAGTAGTACTATTAATCCATTTATATTAAATCTCAAGTGTTACAGGGAAAACCCAGCGGGAAACAATTCTAGTGAGGGAAAAAGAGTACACCAGATGTCGATCTGAGAATGAGGGCATGGCGCCAGGGGCCTGACTAGAATGATGATGGGGGCGATGGTCGCACGAAGCATGAAGGCGATGGTCGCACGAAGCATGAGGGCGACGGTCGCCATGAGATGGTAGCCCAATCGCAAAATGAAGGCGTGGCGCTTCAGGCATCCATGAGATGCTGACTTCAGCATGACGGCTGACCTGAAATGATGAAGGCGATGGTCACCATCCAGGGAGGGATGGGAACCCCAATCGCATGAGGGCACGATGCTAAAAGCATGCCTAAGCATGAAGGCCACACATTAAGCATGAAGGCACTGATATGAAGTCCAGGCGTTGAAGATAGGGGCGCTGACATGAGGGCCACGCGCTGGTCATGAGGGCGCTGACGTGAGGGCCACGCGCTGGTCATGAGGGCGCTGACGTGAGGGCCACGCGCTGGTCATGAGGGCGCTGACATAGAGACCACACGCTGAGGACCAAGTCCCTGTCATGAGGGCCAGGGGATGGTCATGAGGGCGCCGGTCCGGAAATCCACACAACGGTCCTCATCCATGAAGTGGGAGGATGATACCGGTCTTGACACAGATGATCACGTTGAGACCAAGGGGTCCGTCGTGTCATCATATGAATGATCACGTTGAGACCGAGGGGTTTGCCGTGATGCAAAGTCGTCGGCACTGAGGGGCCGGTCCTGAAATCCATGCAACGGTCCTCATCCATGAAGTGAGGGGATGAGGCCGGTCTTGAGACAGATGATCACGTTGAGACCAAGGGGTCTGCCGCGTCATCATAAGTTTTCTAAATTTATATATTTATTAATGAGTTTAAGGTATGAATGCTAAACTTTTAATTAATTGAAAGTTCAGATTTAATTTCCATTCGGCATATACATACCTACGTTTTAAGTCTTCTGTGAATGATAAAAGGTCTCCTTTCCAATTGAATTAAAATATAATTAAGTAAAACGTATTAACAGAAATATTATTGTTTAATTTTAATAATATCTCCTACCTAGTCCTTATATAAGAGATTAAAAGTATTTAAACTTTCTTCATTTGAGAGCGGATGAGTAATGGTTTCAAAAAACAACTGAAGTTTCTAGAGATGTGATCAATTCAATAAATGTGCAATACTCGTGCACTAAATTTATCTGGATATGTTGAAAAATTGCAAGCTTATTAAAAAATTGTTTGAAGACGTTGAATTGGTTGAACTTGTTGAAAATTTGATTAAATTTGTTGAACTGTAAAGATTTAGATATATACAAACACACTAATAATTTGTTTTAGGTTAAAGGGTCAAATAGGCCCATGTACCGGTTGTGTAAACTCAATTCAGTCCCTAAATTAAAAAAAGGTTCAATTCGCACCCCGAACCGACAAAACATGGTTCAAATTTCATTTTTACGGGTAAATAATGGGTCATTTTTTTAATTTTTTATTGTCCCTATTTTTTATTTTCCATTTTTGCAATTTTGACATTTTTTAATAGTGTAGGGGTGCAATTTTTTTTACCGGTTGTTTACCCGTAAAAAATGAAATTTGAACCTTTTTTTGCAGGTTCGGGATGCGAATTGGTTTTTTTTTCAGGGACTGAATTGAGCTTACACGACCGGTACATGGGTCTATTTGACACTTTATCCTTTATTTTATCAATTAATAAAGGTAGGCTTTGGCGGCGGCGTTGCGGTTGAGAGCCCGAGTGGACCAGGGAGCGATTGTGAGGCAAAAGACTGGGTAGGGTGCTACGGACAAAGGCGGAACTGATGACCCGGTCTCCTCGTGAACCACCGTCATGGAGTGACCGTATGTCTAGGGCGGTTTGGAAAATGAAGATTCAAGTTTGTTTCATTTTTATTTCAAGTTTTATCTTTCTTTCATTAGATAATTTATTTGACTCTTGAATTGTTTGTGTTCGTGGTAGTTTTGAGATATCTAATTCAGTTATGATCAAAGGTAATTGTCTCGAAACTTCCATATGTTCAATGAAAAGATTCACTCAGTTTTGGAAAACTTTTTCTCAGAGACTAAGAGAATCATTTGATTCTTATGAGTCTGTGGTGAAGAGTACAATAATCTTAAAGTTCTATAAGAACTCTGTGTTGTTGTTTTGGTGGTCAGCGATTCGCATTACTTTTTCGGAACTGACTGTCTCAAAGTCTGATCGTAGAACATCTCTTGAATCTAGACAGAGTTCCTTAAAAGAATAAGTTGTGTTTTTGGAGGATTGCAAGTTGCAACTCTCAAGTGTTCTTTTGCGGAGTAGGATTAAAACAATTAAATAGAGTAAAAGGTCAGTTTGGTCCTCGAAGTTGCAAAAAATGGGTCAAATAAGTCCTTATATAGAACATTCTGTCCGGACGTGCCATTTGAGGTGGCTCCCGGTAGAATTTTTTGATGAAATTTTTTGAGCATCTTATTCATTAAGTCTAATTTACTTATACCAAATTTCAGCTAAAAATTCAATCGGGGAGACATTCAAATGAATTCTTGAAGATAACTGCGCTTTTAACGGCACAGTTATCTTCAATAATTCATTTGAATGTCCCCCGATTGAATTTTTATCTGAAATTTGGTATAAGTAAATTAGACTTAATGAATAAGATGCTCAAAAAATTTAATCAAAAATTTTTACCGGGAGCCACCTCAAATGGCACGTCCGAACAGAATTTTCTATATAAGGACTTATTTGACTCATTTTTTGCAACTTCAAGGACCAAACTGACTTTTATCCCCAATTAAATACTTTGAGGTAAAAAATGAAGATACTGTCGAGTGTCGACCAAGCTTGCTCATGATATCCTAACTGACTTTTATCCCCAATTAAATACTTTGAGGTAAAAAATGAAGATACTGTCGAGTGTCGACCAAGCTTGCTCATGATATCCTAACTCCTAAGCAATTGCCAAAAAATTCTCAATTTCTGATAACTGCCACAGTGACATGACGCTTGCCCTGCGATCCCTCCCACGACTTCCTGACATTCGCCTCAAGTTCGGCCCTTCATCCCCGGCAATATCATCTGTAAATAAGAAGCCGGGACTGTTCAGAATACGAGCAATCTTGACAGAGAAACAGAATAGCAAACAAGAAGATGATTACCATGCTACCCTCAAAGCTCTTAACTCCAAAGGGAGATTTCCCCGGAAATCCCTCGGCCAGGTGAGCTATACATTTCAAACAATAATGCGCGCGTCGGGATATTTGTTAATTCTTTGGGGGGCATTTTATCGAACACCTTTACGGGCATGATTGGAATAGCAAATGTTTCTCGCTTGATCTGGTAAATGCAGCATTATATGGTAAATTCGGCTGTAAACGATCAGCTTGTTGCGACTGCAGAGGTAAAAGAAGGAGACGTCGTACTTGAGATTGGGCCTGGGACTGGCTCACTGACCCATGCTCTTGTTAACTCCGGTGCGACTGTTCTTGCAGTTGAAAAGGTCCATTTTACAATAATGCTTTCAATTCTGCAGTTTTTTCCTGAAGCATATTCTTATACGTAGTATATAGAACTAAAGTTATATTTGTAGTGCAGGATCCGTACATGGCTGCACTTGTGAGGGAGAGATTTTCCAACCTAGGTTGTGTAAAGGTAAGAAGCTTAAGTCTTGTGGTGTACTGGTGTGTCCATTTAATGAAATGAAGTCCTTCCATTTTTATCTTCCATGATAGAAGGAGTCAAGAAGATAAAGTTGATTGTCATTTTTATTTTTAGGCTTCATTAAGAAATTTGCAAACTTGGTATATGTTTGGTAAATGAGCTCATAAGCTAGCTAATAACTAATAAGTCTCCTTATGACAGCTCAGAAGTTAAATTCTTATAGCTTATTTCTTATACTTAAAGCTGATAAATTAGCTGATCTCATGTACTGATTCATAAAAACTTATAGGTTATAGCTGATAAGTAATAAATGTAAGATGGTGTAAAACAGTATAAATGTGTTCCCAATGTTTATCTTTTCAACGTGCAGTTCTAGCCTGCACCTTCACTTTGTTCCCAATGTTTATCTTATCCTATTCTCACCTTATGTATATCTTAATTGTACTGAGATAGATTATGTTTCCGTTCACATTTCATAAGTAGTCGACTGCTATTTTTGGCTGAACTGTAGGTTTTGGAAGAGGATTTCACAAAATGTCATATACGCTCTCACATATCCTCGACTTTGGGAACTGCAACAGATCCCTTATATAGTCAATCACCATATGCAAAGGTGAAAACTCAATTTGGGCTCCCATGATCCTATTCCTCCTATTGCAGTTGCTCCTTTATAGTTTATTATGTAACTAGTGTGTAATGTCTATGAATTTATTTCAGTCATAATTTATTCTTCCTTGTTATTTAATTATTAAAAAAATTCAACATTCTTAACGCTATTGCAGGTGGTGTCTAATATACCATTTAACATTACTACAGATGTGGTTAGGCAACTTCTTCCTATGGGGGATACCTTCTCAGAAATTGTTCTTCTACTCCAGGTTCACACTGGAGCTCCTTTATGATGTTATTTCATCTTTACATTCATAAATTCATTGTTTATTGTGTGATAATGCAAGCACCAGAACTAAAAGTAACATAGATTAGGATCTCCACCCCACATTCCCTCCATCCCACTAAAAGATAAAGTAATGAAATGTTGAGAAGAAAAAAAACATCCAATCCTTCCTTCTTCCATACATTTTGGATTTTGGTCTTCAGATCTATCTTCATCAATTACTATATAAAAATGAGCTTGTATTACCAGGATAATAAACAGTATTAATAGGCCATACAATCATATATACCATACTAGCATTATCATCAATTCAAATCTTGACATGATTGCTGATGGGTGACCTTTGTTTGGACTTTATCAGGAGGAAACAGCCTTGCGCATGGTGAGTGCATCCATAAGCTCGTCCGAGTATCGGCCTATTAATATTTTCATCAACTTTTATTCAGGTAATTTTCAGAGAACTAATGGGCGAAGTGGAGGAATATTATTTGTGTAATAAAATCTTGTTTAGCACACAGCATTTTTATCCTGACATACATAGACTATAGTGCTAGAGGTGAATGCTTATGGTTAGTCTTACTGGGGGTTGCCAGAGCAAGTTGATGTCTTATCAAATTGCTTTATGGTTCTTGAATTCATATCCTTTTCAGTCTTTTCAGTTTTCATCATCACCAGCAAAACCACTCCACTCCCACACAGTTGGGGTCGGTGGCATAAATATATACTTTCAGTTATTTATCTGAATATAGTTCCTTATAGATTCGTGCAAAAGACATAGTAGTAAGTTTAAAGTTGGAATGTCGTTTTTGACACAATATCTTTACGAAGAATAACTATTATAATGTGTGGACAATATGATGAGAATGAATGATGAATTGAGATATTTCTATAATCATGTTCTATTACAAATGAATATTGTTAAAACCAACATGCGAATCATTGAACGAAAGAGACCTTTTCCTTCTTTATTCTTACTTTTTTATTATTTCCTTGAGTTTGCAAGCTCGTATATTTTATGCAGATCCTGAATACAGATTCAAGGTCCCAAAGACAGCCTTTTTCCCCCAACCTAAAGTAAGTATTTTTATTTTGTAAACCTTTTAGAACTATTATACAGCTGGATCACAGAATCAATGTAGCATGTATCGTACACGCTAAAGAGCGTAATGATATATAAAGTTCTATTTGCCCATAGTTCGGCCAACTAATGTCTCTAACTTCTACAGGTTGATGCGGCAGTTGTTTCCTTCAGGCTAAAGCAAGCTGTGAATTATCCTCCAGTGTCTTCTTGCAAGAGCTTCTTTTCAATGGTTTGTTTTACTGCTCAAAGTTTCAGTTATACGCAAAAATGTTTAATAATAGCTTAAAACCCAAAACTATAAAAGGAAATTAAAGTTAATCAATTAGTCCCCCTTTCGTGTCATGTAAGGTGAACTCGGCTTTCAATGGAAAACGTAAGATGTTGCGAAAATCACTTCAGCACATTTGCTCCTCCCGTGAGATAGAAGAAGCTCTTAGTGGTATTGGTCTTCTGCCTACCGTAAGCATCACTCCATCAATTTTTATGCATTACTTCTGTGCTTCTGTTTTCTGCTATATGGGAGCCTAAAAATCAGCTCATGTATGTGAAACTATGGCGTTCTTGTCTTCCTTTTGCAGTCAAGACCTGAAGAGCTTGCTTTAGCAGACTTTGTAAGGTTGCATAACCTGATAGTCAAAGAATAGAATGCACACTATGGGATTATTGTTTGTAACAGTAAACACTGAAGTTATTGAAATCACAGTCAATAAACCACATCTAAAAAAGACTACGCATATATGAATCTCAACATCTGGATTCTGGAGCTATTTTAGAAACAGTACAAGAGTTCCAAAGATTGTTGATCTCTTAACTGATAAATAATTTCAAAAGTTTTTTACTTACTAGCAAGAGAGGATCAAGTTCTTGTTTTAAACCTACCCAATTTGATATAACTTTTTGTTGTTCTAAACTTCTAATTTAAACTAATTATGTTAAGGCGTATTGGTCAAGTTTTTTTTGAAGGAGCGTATTGGTCAAGTTAAAAACTTAAAATGATTTTTTTTAATCAATTACTTCCACTCTTCCAGAGTAAATCGATTACTCGTTTGAATCTTCAAGTTTTGAGCAACTGTATTTTGGAAATAACTAGATTGTCACCCGCGCGATGCGCGGATGTAAATTTACCATGTTATTAAGAAGTGTATTATAAAAACGTAAAAGTAATTGAACTCAAAATAAAGTGGTTAGTAACAAAATAAGTGTTTGTAGTTAAAGAGAAATTAAAACATCATCAATATATAAGAGAAACTATAAATACGGAGTATTTTAAAAGAGATATAACATTTGAAAGTAGAAAGTGAGAAGTAAAATGATGAGTGTTCAAGATCAAACTAAAAATTCTGAAAAACTTTTTTGTAAACAACATTAGCAGTATAATCAATCTCTTGATCATCCTCATCACAAAACAATATTTTGTGATACACTTCTCAAATCTTTAATCTTTAATTACATAAAGCCAATTCCCTAATAAAAGGAACTCAACCACACTTATAATCCATAATTACAAATAATAATAATTCATTAAAAAAAACAAAATAATTTCGATTTTAAAAATTAACAAATATTAATCAAAGAAATCAATGACATCATAAAAAACTTAAATCATTTTGGGTTTTATTCGAATTAAACCTTCAATTGTTAAAAAATTAAAAGCAATTACGGAGTATTAATTAAGAATTATTAATAAAAATTTAAACACTTTTGGATTTTATTAAAAGGGAAAACTGTCAAATAGGTCCTTGAACTTTCATAAAAAGGTCAATTAAGTCCTTCTATAGGAGGTTCTGTCCGGCGGTCGCGATTTGGGGCAGTTCCCGGTGGAATTTTTTGATGAATGTTTTTGAGCATCTTATTCATCAAGTCTAGTTTACTCATACCAAATTTCTGCTAAAAATTCAATCGGGAACACATTCAAATTAATTCTTGAAGATAACTGCGCATTTTTGCGTTCTCGAATTAATTTGAATGCGCTCTCAATTAAATTTTTAGCAGAAATTTGGTATGAGTAAACTAAACTTGATGAATAAGATGCTCAAAAACATTCATCAAAAAAATTTCCACCGGAAACCACCCCAAATCGCGACGACCGGACAGAGTCTCCTATAGAAGGACTTAATTGACTTTTTTATGAAAGTTCGAAGACCTATTTGACAGTTTTCCTTTATTAAAATGATAATTTTAATACTCTAAGAATTAGGACCAGCAATTTATAGCTTTAATTGGACTTCAATTGGACCTCAATTCCAGCCTTTTTGACCCAACAACCCAATTATTTTAAATATTTATGCCTAACCCTACCCAACCCAGCAACCCTATCCACCCTCACATTAAACCCCTAAACCTACCCAACCCAACCCCCTTAATGTATAACCCCGATGGTCTCCAGATCATTCACCCCTCTTTGGCAACCTCCGTACACAACGGCACAACCTACCCCTTCGGCAGTCCTTCGTCTAGCCCTTCACTTTCACCATTTTTCCGGTCGTCTGTGAAGGTCGGTGCGGCATTAAGGCTGGATGTTAAGCGTCAGTTATCATCGTTCGTGGATTCTGCGGCTGGTCTCAGTCGTTTGGTATATCCTCTTTCAAAACATTAATACTCAAACATTTTCTTTGTTTTCAACAGTTCATGTGTATATTTTCTACAAATTCTCACACATCTCATTTGACTGAGTGTTCTTGTAATCTGTTTCACCAAATCTTATCTATTTTTTCCGCATGCATGACTTTTATTAATGGACTTAAGTCTATTGATGAATCGGTTTTCAAAGATTTTACCAACATCTATAGATCTGTTGATATTTTTGCGGTTTGAGGATTAAAAAAATCTTGTCACGTATACCATTTCGTGGTCAGGTCTGTCGAAATATCAGATCTGTGTATGGTGACCGATGAACAGGTTTTTGTTTTTTAATTTGATGTTGGTAAAGTATATCTTTTGTTTGATTCTCCACTTTCGTCTTTGAAAAGCTTTTTTCCAACTTTCAGTGAAAGTTAATTTTATAACCTAAGAATCATTCGGCTAATGATTTTTTATAACTAATGATTTTTTAAAATAATTGAACTTATAACCTAAGAATCATTCGGTTTCAATTTTATAAAATGAATTCTATGTTAAAATTTCCTTTTTCAAATTTCCTCGGATCTTCTTCATGTAGCTTCTATTAACAACTATTAACCAGGTTTACATTTACCAGAGTATATTTTGGTAATACCGAAGATAAAAAGCAGTTAGAATAAATTTGATATAATATATCCATTTTTGTCTTCTTATCATCACATTCTTGAAAAAAATATGTGTTGAAAGAGTACATAAGTAATGTCTATGATTATGATTTAAATAAATTATGTCTAAAATTGATCTTAACTTTGATTATAATATTTTTTCTGATGTTATTGACTCTTTAAATTAATTCTCTCTAAACATCTAGTTCTTTATAAAAACATTCTTATATATTTTGAAAGCCCAAGAAACTTGCAATTTCAGAATTCCATATCCAAGTACTTTTGTATTCGTCTCAAAAAAAATTTGTATTCATCTGAAATCTTTCTAATACTCCATCCTCTTTGATTTCTGGCTTGTAGATTCTGAGTTTGTGGCGTTTCCCAGTAGCATGAAGTGACCTCCCTCTAAACGTTGTTGAAGTCGGCCTCAAGAACACAATCCTGGCTTTTCCTATAAAATGACACATAAGTCATAAATGCAAATGCATCAGTTTTATTCTGGCTTTAAAAAGCAGTTTTTAAGGAACACATTATATATGAACAACCCATCTTCTCAATGTTATTTTATCATGAGTGCTAACCCAAATATATTTCCTCTCCAAGTTTGAAAAAAAGTAGCTATACCTTTTATCATGGTAAATCGGTCCTTAGCTCTCTCCCTTGGAATGGTCTCAAACCTCAAATACTCTTGCAATCATGGGTTTCAATATCCACTGGATTTGGTATGATCTCATCTTTGAATGGGATAATGGGAACATTAGGTATGGTGGGAAAGTGGGATGGAAAATGAATTGAATGAGTTGATCTATTTATACTGAAACTTAGGCTGTATGTTGTGAACAGGTTGATTTAATACCCGCTAGGCAAAGAACACCCATTAACCAACTGTCTAATATTTTTGCATCTTAGTACGTAATAAGTTTGCATTGTTGCTTTGCATTTAATGTCAATGTACTTTGAAGATCATATTCCATATGTTGTGCGGCTCAAGAAGATATTAGAGTACGAAACTTTTGCTTAGCATTAGTCACAATATACTTTAAAGGTCTTATTTTATATTTTGGTTGGCTCAAGAAGATATGAGAGTACACATCATTTAATGTAAAGCCTTCTGAAAAGAAGTACTCTGCGACACAAATTTGAATTTGGCCGAAATACATTTGAACACAACAATTTAATTGGTAGTTGAAAAGTTTTGATAAGATGTACAGCTAATAAAGTGCCCCCGATGTGTTCCTGATTTGCAATTCATTAAATGCATTTGTACTTCAAAGATCAAATCTGAAATCCTCCCAGCCGTATTTTACTTTGCATTTAATTGTTGGAGCAGATTTGAATCAAGCATTGAATGCTTTAGATGGCCTTAGCTGTAGGCACATTTTTTACCCGGGTTGACCCGTTTTTTTCCAGTAGAATGGGCGGGAAATTTGGCTGCTGATCCACAGCGGTTTGTATATAGGAAGATATATGCTCCCGTTTGACTTTTTTTGTATAATTGTATGATATACTCCGGGGTATTTTATGATACAATTTGACTAAATTTAATTCATCCGTTCTTGTTTACCCACTCCAGTTGGACTCTAACACTTGTCAGTATAACTTTGACTACTCATATAGACAAAAAAAGCGACTTGCAAGATAATAAAATTAAAACATCAAAAACTGTTCTTTATCTCATTGCCATTGAAACCGGTGTAACTGCCAGCCTGCCAGCATTGTCGCTCTGACCGTCACTATCAATTTCTAGCATTTTTTTCTCGTGGACTATTCTGGTGTCTACAAAAAAACATCTCGATGGTGCTGCACCAAGTGAAAGGCGGATTTCGAAGTGGGAATTGGGGTGAGGTGCAGTTGGGTAAAAGTTAGAGACTTAGAGGGAGAAGAAATTTGAATTTATTTTAGGGATGGACTCGGGCCGGGTGGCCCGGCCCGGAACCGGCCCGGTTATTGTTTGAACCGCCCCGGCCCGGGAACCGGTCCGGGGGGTGGTTCGGGTCGGCCCGGCCCGGTTACTGTGCGGTTCGGGCCCGGGCCCTTTAATTGGCAAACCGGCCCGGCCCGGTTCGGGCCAAATTAATTTTTTTTTTTTTGAATTTTTTTTAAGTTTTTGGGTTGGGCTTGGTATTTTGGGCCATTTGAGGTGGTTTGGGGTGGTTTGGGGTGAGGGGGGAGGGTTGGGGGTTAATTAGGAAAAGCCAAAAAAAAAAAAATAGAACCGAGGCCCGGGCCGGTTCCGGGCCTCCCATTTCTTAACCGAGGCCCGGCCGGGCCCAGGCCTGAACTGGGCCCGAACCGGAACCGGTCCACCCATAATTTATTTAAGAAAAAAATGCTCACAATTTTATCTTTCAAAACTATAGAAATCATATTTATGTACTATTTCGACTTAAATCCATTCAAATTGATGATTGATCATACATGCATTATTGATATGAACAGCCATATTATAAATTGAATACATCAGAAAGGTAAGTACTACTGAATTAGATTATGATTTCGCAATGTTGACAGACTATAAGTTTAGCATGCGGAGATAATCATCTATTATGGACATGGCAGACGACCGGTATCCAGAACCAAACATGTTATAGTGATTCAAGTAATGATACAACATATAAAGATCCTTCCTTTCCTCAAAACCAGGCTGTTTATGCATGACCTGATATACAAAGGATGAAGTCAAATCAAAGGGAGATGAAGAAAGCTACTGCCAAAGACAAGATACATGGTAAAATACTGATAGTAAAAACAAAACTGGTAAAGAGAGAGATAATACTGAGCCTTTGAAAATTTTATCACCAATAACTTAGTTTTGAAGAACTCTAGAAGATGGAGTTCAAAAAAGTATGGATTAAGACCGCCAATGACACCTTAAGTTTACATCAGTATGATATTTCGCGTAGGACCAAGCCCTAATGGATTTGTTTGTGGCATCTACCAAAGGGCCTCTTTCTAATGGAGGCCCCAACAACATGGCCGTCCATTGTGCAATTATGATTTTCAGTTTATGTTCTAAACTTTAGAATAAAGATGGCATAAAAAGTGCAAGGGTACCTCAAAGTAGGCATTGTAAAAAGCGGCTCCAAATCCAGCACACCACGACATTCCAAACTCTGCCTCATTATGTCCATCTAAGAGACAAGAATTATTGGTGATATTATGAGGTTAAAACAGATATAGGAAGCAACAGTGATTTGCTACAACAAAATGTTTGTTTTTCCTTTTTATGTAAGCTCAAATGTTAAATCAAAGCAATACCTGTTTCCACTATTTCTTTAAATGGTGGCCAAGTAGCGTTTGGCTAACTTATTTTCTTCTAAAAGATATACGTAGTACATTTTTTGGTCATTCCAAAGTTGATCTTTCACTAACAGACATTCAGGACTATTAATCCAAAAGTGATATAGGGCTACAGTAGGAAGGTCAAGAATCAAGAACTCACAATAGCATGCTGGGTCAAGAATCACTGGTTCCCCATTCTTGTCATAGGCGATATTGCCGCTCCATAAATCTCCATGAAGTAAGCATGGCTCTATTACAACATTCTGGAAAAGAAGCCTTAGATTCCTTGCCAGCTTTTGTCCTTGAGAGTAAACAAATCCATATAAATAACAAGGACCCAGTAGCACTCTATCACACATACTGTGGATTTGGGAGAATGAAAACAGGAGAAAGAAAACAGATTAAAACCTTTCTGGTAAATTGTTGAGTCTGCATAATGTTCACAAGCTAACCGTAGCTGGTAAACCAATCTATGCTCTGCATAGAAGTCTATCCAATCTTGTGTCCAATTGTTTATCTGTGGGGTACTGTAAAATAAATTCAATACAACAGATGAAGTCTCAATTGTAATTTTGAGTTACGGTGGTTACATTTACCTCCCCTTGGGATTTGATCAATTTACAAATGGTCCCTGGAATTCTTATAAATTAAAAAAATGGATAGTCAATTTTCTTCAATGGCATCTTTTACCCTGAATTTATACTACATATGCATGTATGATGCTAGAAGGAATCAAGTGTTTCAGACTAATTTGGTTTGGAATTGCATATCTTTGATTAAAAATGTCCAAGGTGCTTTTTTCTTGACAAATAAATGGCACAAATGTCAAGAGTTATTTAGAATGAAAACACGCAATTCCTACTAAAATCATAAAATTTTATTTACCAAGGGGTGTATTTGAAATTTTAAAAAGCGTTAAGAATTGCTTTGTTATTTAACAAAATCACAGGGGAGGTAGATGTAATACCACGTTACAACAAGCATCATAATATGTATTATTCCTTTTTTTGAATAATTGATTGACAAGTTTTTTATGAGCAAGCATATAAGTATATTACTGTGCTTTTTGTCTCTTGAAGAGAAGATGGTTTAGATAGCCGGTGCATTCTAATTTCTAAATGATACCTTCCAATAGTATTATCAACATGAAAACCAAAACCCATCTCAGACATGGATGATTTATGCATTTCAGCCAGTTTCCTTCCTAATGTAGACTTGAAGAGTGCCAAAGGATGGATATTAACTGATCGAAAATATAAAAAATAATAATTAAGGAGCAGATACAACACTATATAGATCCACACCTGATCACGTTTAGATGCACCAAACTCGATAAATTCCATTATGAAGTATGAACCACCGGTTGGAAGAGACCCAACCTATCTCAATACACAATACAACCTCCTTACGAATCAAATGAGCAAAAATTCCACATTCTCCTCAAAGACTCAAATAGGTGAGAACCGAAGACCAGCTATTATTCCTAACCTTATACGGTTTAGGGACCCGAATTGAGCGGGTCTCTAGCATGGCATTTAAGCCCACAGCCTCTCCCTCAAACATTGATGGTCCAAAGCTCCTGTGACCACTACGCATGTTAGTGCTCAAGCTGGTCACGATGGAGGCATCTAATTGGTTTCCTTCCAAACTCAATTACATGACTCCATCCCATCCTACTAATTTGGAGAGCAAATGAGCCATTCTGAGCTCAAACTTGGGTATGCTTGAGTTCGAGCTCTGAATATTGGTAGTGTGTCGAGCTTAAACAAGTTTAATAATTTTGGCTCGAGATTGATCACATTTTGTTTATTAATGCACTACAAATTACTACTTCCGCTATAACTTGCAAGGGTTTAACTTTTGTACTATCACATACTCTAGTAATCTAGTTTGATCACGTTTCTTTATTAATGCACTACAAATTATTTTATGTTGTACTATGTACTTCGTATAATGTTAATATTTTACTCGTAATTATTTTATATAATATATTGTGGCAATGTAAATTTTAAAATATTTTTTAATGGATTTTTACTCATAACGAATTAACTACACTAGTCATCAAAGTTGTGTGTTAATGTGTCAAACTGTTACTACTACATGTCTACATCAGAACAAAAGAA